TAATATTATTATTATTATAATTATTGCATATTTTAATAGTACAAAGCTATGTGTTATTGTTATGCAATAAGGATTTGCTTTTTTTAAAACATTTATTTCTTTGACATTAATAGGCAAACAATATATTAATAAAAATCATAATTATTTATAATCATATTAATATTATATGTAACTAACTGGTAATATTATTTATGATTTTATTTTGCTCTCAATGTTTGCATTTTATAATAAACCATTTTTTAGAGATCATTGTACCAACAATTAAGTGGTTTATTGCCATCATATAATCAGTTATAATAATAATAATAAGTCAGTTGATACAAGTTTTCAAAATGAAATAAATACAATTTATTGTATCATATTTGTGTTGTATTAGGAAAAACACCACATATTACACATAAAACTATATGAAAAGTGATGACTTTTCTCAAAATGAGCCCATAAGCTATAGTCATCAGATATAAAAATATTTTGATGGCATTCATCGCATAGTTAGCCAGTTAGCACTGTTAGCCCTGATCACTTTTTTATTGCCCATATAGCATTTAGTGCTAGTCTCTCTCTCTCTCTCTCTCTCTCTCTCTCTCTCTCTCTCTCTCTCTCTCTCTCTTAACTTAGTTTAGGGCTCACCTGCTGGGCTTAAACTCGTAGCAATAATTCACGCATTATATTACATTAAATATGTTACAAATATTATAACTTATATATACATAATATATTGACTGTTTTAATATTATACAAGAAAAAATATTATTTATTAGTTAGCAAATAGTATACTTTTTTAAAACCGTACGTCCAGTTATTGAAATAACAATATAATAGATTAGTTTAACTATGAATTTGAACTGAACTCTAAAATGCAAATAAAATCATTATAGTAATGGTATAGTAAAATTAAAATAATAATAATAATACTGTAGTAATAGTAATAAATTAATAACAAATAATAATAATAAAAAAAGTTATAAGTTATACATTATTTTCTAAACAAACAATTTAAAAGTCGTAACTATGTATCAAAACTAAATAATAATAAGTAGCAACAAAAACGTTTTTACAACTATTATTTATATAAATAATAATATTTAAATATTTGTACTAAACTTTTTTTTCTTTATCTCACACATAGACTTTATTATATTTTATTTTTATGAAACACTAAAAATTCAAATATATATATATATATAAATCTTTTGGCAAATTTTATTAGTATTGAAATACAGGTGTGCTATGAATAATATAATGATTGGTTATAACTTATAAGTTATAACAACAGCAAAAAAACAGACAAAGTCGAGAAAATAGAGAAAAACAATAATAATAATAAACGGATGACTATATAACTAATCATAATTAATATTTATATCATTTACAATATAAGTGTGTTTCACTGTGTGTATTGTATGTACAGATAATTGGTGTCTTTAATAAATTTTACTGACTGTCCTTGTCTATAATGTCTATACTGTCTATAATTGTCTATAATGTCTATAAAATGTATAAATAACTAAAAAAAATCAGCGATAGTCGACTCATTTCATACATCACTGACTCTCATCTGAGCAATGTTTGCACAAAACTCATTGTTATCTAACGTATCGTATTTTAGCGCTCATATACATACTGGTAGTCACATATAAATAATTGGCATAAATTTATTGTTAGATATTTCTATTGTGACTGTTTTGTCGCAAATGGCAAAATCCATGGCCATGGCTTCGATCACTGGCCATGCATGCCATCGATCCATAACTCATAAACACATATACACTCACACATTGAACAACAGGTGCAATATATACCTGCGCTTATAGATTATTAACGACTCTCTCGTTCACTGGAAATCACTGCAAATGTTACCGATGTTTCACTAATAGACTCCAATAAGAAATAGAGAGAGGGATAGAAAGTAGACGGTGCCTCACTTGACTGGTTATAGCTTATGTCAACTTAATTTTGTACTCTTTTAGTGTTGTCTTTACAATCTATACCAACAATTTTTGCGTAACTGATTGTTTTCATTTTTGGTGAAGTCGTTTGTCTAGTGGGCCAAGGACTAGGAGCTCAACCACCATCACGTGCTCTCCCCCATCACCATCGCCCCTATCCCCCCTATTGCTATCACTGACTTAGTTAACGAGTCAAAATATGATATACCTAAGCGAGAGAGAGAGAGAGAGAGAGAGAGAGAGAGAGAGAGAGAGAGAGAGAGACTATAATTTGTGAAAATACAGTGTTTTCCTATCACTTAATGTCTCTCAAAGAAAAAATCGCTTAAAATGTTTTCCACTGTTTTGCACTCACTTTACAGCTCAAGCAAAACAATTTGTTACTCAAATGAAAAATACTATTTTTTGACAATAATATCCACCAGAAAAATGAATTTTTTGTTTGCATTATTTTTATAAACTTTAAATAACAAACTAAAAACTTATTAAATTCATATTTATGTCTTTCCCACTATCTATAAATGCCATTTATTAATAATATTATTTCTTAAAAAAAACTGGTGAAACAATTCAATGCTTTCATGATTTTATCAATTAGTTTCAACAAACATTAATACATTTGATATTTATTTCAACGTTTTGTTGCACCGGGAGTTAGATAGCGAGGGCATTGAAAAACTAATGTCGAGGTATATATATATATATATGTATGGCTTAAGTGAATTAAATGGTTATATACCGGAGCAGAGAAATCAATAAATTTTCGAACGGAACGGAATGTTGGCGAACAGGACAGCCTAATGTTATGTCAATTTACAAGACAGCCGGTGCTCTATTCAAGGACAGGTATATTATGTTTATTTTAAAGATATTTATTTTCACTGCTTTTCTCTTAAATAGTTTTAAATACTTAATATATATTCAATTTAATTTTTGCTTAAAATAGTTTTTTATATGGTTTTCCCCTATAAATTAAGTCCCAATGTCTTACTGTTTGTTATTATATCACTACTGAGATTGACGACTATTCTCATGCATTATAGTTTTTTGTGCGGACAGGGAGTGTGTATGTATGTAATACTATGTATGTATGTATGAGAGAGAGACACATATATTCACATATATTAAATGTCATACTCTATTAGTGAATGCAAACCAATCATTTGCTATCAAACGTCTTAATCGACAACAAAATCTAATCTCATGAGTGATAAATATGATACCCAAAGACCAGATTCAATGATAGCAACAAATACTGTCAGCAATAATATACAGACATTAATGTGAATTCACGATATATACAGATATATATATATAGTATATAAAATAAACGATAGTATATTACACAACATTATAAAAATATATATTTTTCCCCAACTTATGTGTGTAAATATCGCATAAACTTTATTTATATGACATTTTTATTCAATAGAAAAAATGTAATATACATTAAATATAAAACAATTTTTAAAATTGAATAATAGATTTCATAAAAAAGAAGATATAATTTATAAGTTTATTATTGTTATTACTATTGAAACAAACGTCAAAACTCTTTTACTTTTTAATATGCAATATATAAAAATCATATATATTTTGAAATAATAAATATAAAAAGTGCAATATGTAATTTTTATCTTAGTATGTAAATTATTAAAATTTTATTGTAATACTCTTTTTTTCCTATCAAATAACTTTAGCAAAATAGCATTTGACTTTAAAAAAAAATTGTTTTATTGATGTCACAAATGATGTTAAACAAAAATTCAATAACTTCTGCTTTATATTTATGTATCATAGGAGCAAAAATAGCAAAAAATTTTCATGTAATATAATGTATTAAAAATAAATATTATATTCTTATTCTTTTATATAGAAATTTATTTACAAATAACATTCAAAAAGAAAACTAAAATAAAATAAATGCAACAAATTTATGCAAAATATTTTTATCGATACTTAAAAACATTTGGTTAGATAAGAGATGAACAAATTCTTGATCACAAATAAACTATTTGTTATATATTTATGTGTATTTGAATAGCAAATGTTATGTAATAATAAAATATATGTAAAAATATAAAAAATAAATGCAACAAATGAGGAAAAAAGAGAGAAAAACTCAAGTGAATCGAGTGTTATGTCGATCCGATAGGGGAATGGTATGCAATACCTCACGAAATGTTTGGCGTGAATTACATGCTTTTATAACTACATAAATATCAATATATCCTCTTATGAATGGTATGTGTGGTTAGTTTGTATGGTGTTGTACAATGTGTGCCCTAAGTTTATATAACATAAATGTCTATCTGTTTAACGATCATCACTACAATTGAGAGGAGAGGTGTGAAATGGGAAGAGACTGACTGACTGGAGGAACTGGAGATATTAAAGAATAAACTGTATATACTTTTGCTTTTTAAAGGTGCCGGCAAGTGCTGGCCGTTCACAATAAAACAACATAAAATACACAATAGGAGCACCTGTTAGTGAGGGCATAGGTGGCAAAGGTTAGAAGCGAGACATTAGTTGTAAAATACGCCAACTATTAGTGTACTCATTGTATAACACATATGAGTGCTTATTGTAAGGCTTTATATGATTTTGAGAGCCGAGAGATTGGAGAATAGACTCAAAATAATGTGATGTGAAGGTCAACAACCCATACAAACGTACAGACACTTCAATAAACCACCCGATCTGAAGAGGCGGTCACTACCAGAGCAGCCCAGAGCTCATGTATTAGTAAACACTGATATCATAAAAACAATTTATTCAATATATGGATACGCAAAGTGAGTAAATAAATGAGTGATTGAATGAGATATATATAAATGAGATAAATACAAGAGTCAAGTGTTGCATAATATAAGCAAATAAAATGTCGATTTGAAGGCTTGGTTTTATCAAATCAATTATATATATATATAAGAAAATTGTTTGTTTGAATTTTTATAAATATATATTTTGCTTTTTCATTTAATAACTTTAAATTGAAATAAAGCAATACATAGGCAATAATAAAACCAAAAAAATACTGATTCTTACCTTTATTATTGGCGTCTTGTGTTGAATCTAATGATGAATCTACTTGTTTGGCATCAGATACGGGCAAATCATCATCTAATCTATTATTGTCTATATTTGTTGAGTATGTCTTTGGATTTGTTGCACTATTATTGAGCCAATACTCTAACGCTGGTATTGGATCTGAAAAAACAAGAAAAACAAAGATAAAAATTATTATTATTATTATTATTAGTTAACAGATAAGTTAAAGTGTTGATGAAAAATATTGTAATAATAATGTAATAATAGCCAAAGTACTGTATATAGTAATAGTCATAATTTATTTTACATTATTATGACTATGAGATTAATATATGCATAAGTACTATATTAACAACATTTTTAGCAAATGTTTTTCTAAAATATTTATTTTATTTTGTTTGTGAAAACTTTTATTAGTTGTAACAAAGTTAGACATTCAAGTGAACTGAGAGGAAAGCCATATCTCATAATTGAGTGATTTGTGCGCTATTTAGGCACAAATATGTAATAGTATTTTTTGTAAGAGCATTGCATTGCATGTGCACCACATGAAAGGTTAGGCAATATATTGTATGTTTAAATAAATATAAATATACACAAAGTATTTTTATGTATTTATATTTATGTAATGGTATGTAATATTATAATTGTAGCTATGATGAGATAGAGGGCTAACTAAATACAGTACAGTCCAAAAACACAACAGTTTTAGGGTTAGTCGAGGGCTCGGATTCCGTGCTCTCATACAATCAATTGCATTACAAAAGTCTGGCCACAAGTTAGTCAAATAACATTTTCCCATCAAATAAATTACAAATAAGTTATTATATACAATAAAATATGGGCTAATGTTTAACTGAATTTAAACAACAATAATGAGTGTGTGAGCTCTCTCTCTCTCTCTCTCTCTCTCTCTCTCTCTTTCTTTCTTTCTACATATATAACTTAAAATCTGATTTGATTTTTTTTATATACATATATCTATTTTTTAGTCTCTATGTTCATACAATTTATCTCTCAATGCCAATCTCTTTCTCAATGTTGCCAATACCTGCCAGTGCTACACATTGTGTGTAATTGTGGTTTTAGCCATTATTACGATTTCGTGACCAATCGATGGCCCCAATGATATGGACTAAAACCATACAATACGGTAATACAAATTGTGATACACACTAATAATATAATGAAAATGTTATTACTTTGGAAAAATAAAAAACATTAAGTTATATATAACTTTATGTTATATTTATATAGATTGTATAACATTGTTTGAATCAAATCACAGCAATAAATACATTATAATAAAAAAACAGTTTGTGAATGAATTTATTTGAAAGGCGCTCACATATGCTGTAAATTTTACTATTAATGTTATAATAAGCTTTAATATATGTCTTTATTCACATATTATATAAGCATTTTAGGTTTCAAAATATATGGCAAATATTATTATATTTATTGTTATGAAGTGATGTACACTTAAAAAAAGACTATGAAATGCATTGATGTAACGCTAAGGACTCAAAAACACTGCCCTTAGGCTTATCATAAAAGAAATAGCATAACTGAGATGAGGATAAGCACTGTAATTAGGATTCAATGAGATCTTTGCACAAGGAGTCAAAATCTATATATAAGGTGCACAGCCCTTATTCTCCCAGTGCTTCACACCATTGCCAGTCATTTACTTTAAACATATATATATATATATACAGTACACACACTTTCTTTTTATATGTGTATTGATGCCAATCCAAGGCCTGGCATCGCATCTTTCATTTACTTTCTTTCATAAAAATTTAATATATATATAAAGCCTTATCCGTTGCCATTCACTTACACACCGACTCTCAAGTGTTGTACACAATCTCCGCCTTTAAATACTATGAATAACACCTTAGAAAACAATATGACTTTTTTCTAATGTTATGTAATGTTAAAGTGATTTTGCGGTACAATACTAACACAAACGAGAATTTTTTTCATAATACACATACACACAAAAAATAAGGCAATAATGAGAAGCAAAATAATAAAATATAAGGAGTGATCCACCGCTGAGGAGCAGCAGTTTATCATATAATATGGTTTGGCCCCCAGTCTCCCAGTGCCCGGAGTACACAACACTCTAACCGACAATAAAAACAGTTTAAAAAGACACAGATAGACACACACATACAATAAAAGTTTATATACAGTTACATATGTTTTTTCAGTAGTGTTTAGTACACAACAATTACCATATTTTATAAACATATTTAACATAAAAGACAATATTTTTATAACAAATACTCATATTTTGATACAATAGTGACAAACAGTTGAGAGGAGCGCACAGGGAGGTAGAGATAACATGTTTTTAAAAAAAACTGAATGGAAAAGAAATCTTATTTATGTAAAAATACTCGTTTGTGGGAAACGTATGTTTTATTTTTTATTTAATTATTATTAGTAATAAATGGTAATATTAGTTAAAAACATAACTTCCTATGCAAAGGCCGACCTATGTTTTACAACATTATGTGGGATCACAACTTGTGAACACACTTTGACTAATAATATCATATAATATAAATAATAAAACAAATAACAAAATTATTTTATTGAATGACGACTAACACAAAAAAATATTTACAACACATTAAACTTCAATAAAAATTTAATTTTATATTCAATTACTCCTCTTTTTTCTTCTGTATTTTTTAAACTGTCTCTCCCAGCTCTCCCAGCTCTCCCATCTCTCACATACCGTACTTTGATGTCAATATATTTTTATACAGACATAACATATCATATAAAAATATGTGTTTGTTTTTTTTATGTATAATAAAAATAATTTACCCAACACTATGAACAACAACAACAATAATAATAATAATAACGAAAATATACATATTTTCAGATAATGTTCTCCAATTTCTTTATCATTATTTTTATTATTATTAATACCTCAGTATATCACGGGGCAACTTAAATGTGATAGCAATCAAAAATGTTTTTATTATAAATTTATATATATTTCTATATATAAACATCGCATCCATGTTATCAATAATGAAAATATAAAATCAGATATATAATAGAAATGTTATCTGTTTAGAATCAAAAACGATTAGCACACATATCATAATGTTTTTTCTCTTCAATAGTCGCTTAATACCATAAAAACTGGTAATTTGTGGAATAAAAATAAAAAAATAATAATAATTGATAAATAACTTGTAAAAAATATTGTATAATAATAATAAATAAAGAAATTATGTGTAATATTTTTTTAATATAATAAATAAAAAATATGTTTATTAAAAAAAGACAACAAATAAAAAATAAGTTTGAAATTAGGTATTAAGTGCATCGCTCTCCTCAGCCATTAACAGGCCATCAGATGATGCATATTAACAGTTGTGTTGGCGATGGTGGGTATGTATCGAAAATGGTATGGTATGGTATAAAGTAGTGATCATTACTCATATATTGAGTGCATATTCAGATCAGGTATTGAGTCCGATATTATTGAATATGTAATATAAAGATACGTTAGGGGGATATTGTATACTATTTAGTCGATACCCTTATGTAATCTATTATAGCTTTGGTATGTAATGATGGAGTGGGAGAGCAAACACAAGGAGAGAGAGAGAGAGAGAGTACAAGAACAATATGCATCTGCATAACAGGTTGTGGTAGAGTAGAGAGAGAGAGAGAGAGAGAGAGAGAGAGAGAGAGAGAGAGAGAGAGAGAGAGAGAGGCCTATGGTGTGGACGCACCCACGACCTGATAACGAAATTAATACACCCATAAATATAAATATATATATATATATATATATACTTATATTATATTTGCAACAAAACTTTAATATAATATTTCCTTTCTTTTACAATATATTTCATTCTCTTTCTCTTTCTCTCTCTCTCTCTCTCTCTCCCCTTTTATATAATAAATAATAATAATATTATTACGTAAAACACTTGATATTCTCCTTTCTTTTTGTGACTAAAAATATAAGTTAAACAATAGAATAGTTGTGAAAAAATGCATAATAGATGTATGATTTGAGATGAAGAGAGAGAGAGAGAGAGAGAGAGAGAGAGAGAGAGAGAGAGAGAGAGAGAGAGAGAGAGAGAGAAAGAAAGAGAGAGAGAGAGTACATCGTTGTTGGTATCAATTGATAGACTCTCGATGTACTGTATATATGATATATAGAGATGTATTGATGAGTTGGGCCGCTAAAGGAATGGGCAAAAAACTATTTACGGAACTGACAAACAATAGCAATATTGGCATTCATTTTATTATATGACTGCCCATTGCTTCGGCAGGTTTTGTTAAGTGCGCTCACGTATCAGTCATCCCACCTCTAAATTACAATACTACTACTACTACCAGTGCCATCACTGCCATCCATAGTCATCATCAAACCATTGCCGAAGTCATCATCATTACTATCAATTGTTTCGCATCGACACAAAAAGTTAATGTTTTGCCCATTCATTGGCTCACGAAGTAAATCGATAATAGCTTCATATATACGCTATAAATATATGTATTATTTATATATACAATATATATCATTGTTTGCCATAATAACGATCGCTTCATCGCCTCTCTTATGCTTTCAGAATATGTTTGAAAAAAATATATAAATATATTTCGGCCAAAACTAAAACATTATTGAATATTTTCAATTGTAATATCAATTTTTTGATGCTCAAGGCCGGGAAATTTATAGCTTATGTATGTATTGGCAGCTCTAAGAGTGGCCTGTCTTTCATCATAAGCACACCATTACATGTGTGCCAATCGCACGATTGATTCCCTCTTCAATAACCTAACACTCTCTGTATGTTTGTGTTATGCGTTGTAAATGTGTTTCATTGATATGTTGTTGTAGTTATTGTCGATTATGATGATGATTATTATTATGATGATGATGGCACTGATAGCATACCGGGCCCGATGATGATGACTGTGTGATAGCATTTCAAATACAAGAGAGAGAGAGAGAGAGTCAGTCAGTCACTAAATCCCTATCCAATGTTTGCCTCTAATGGCAATCAAAGTGATCGACAAACACACACATTATGTATATAATATTGTTGTACATATCTATATATTATTGGTATATATATTTATGTTATAACTTATAATATAAT